TGGTCAATGACATGAGACAAAGTATATGTGAACTGCTGTATGAAAAGTGAATTTACTCTGTAAATCTTCACCCAAATCCTAATAAAAAAAAAAAAAGACTGAAGGTGTCAAGGATTCCATTTTATTTGGATCCTCAATCAATGCCCATGGAAGTAGCAGTCAAACAATGTATTGCATTGGGCAAATTTGCTGCAAAAGATCTCTTTAAAGTGTTAAAAAGAAAGATGTCACCAAGAGGACTAAGGTATGACTGATCCAAGCCATGGCACTTTCAATCACTTTATATGGATGTAAAAGATAGATAATGAATAAGGAAGACTGAAGAAAAATTGATGTATTTTATTTGTGGTGTTGGGTAAGAATATTGGACATACCACAAACTGTCTGGTAGCATAGCACAGAAGGCTGGCAGTTCAAACCCACCAGCCACTCCTTGGAAGGATGGTTGGGCAATCTACTTCCATAGTGATACAGCCTCAGAAACCCAAGGAGGGGTCTCTATGAGTTGGGTGCAATTCCATGGCACATAACAGCAACAACACAAACCCTCAGAAGAATTAACAAATATGCCATGTAAGAAGCACAGACAGAAAGTTCCTTAGAAGCAAGGATGGTGAGACTTTATCTCATGCACTTTGGACATTTTATCATAAGAGACCATTCCCTGGAGAAGGACAAAATGCTCGGTAAAGTAGAGGGTCAGCGATAAACAGAAATGATCCTTATCAAGATGGACTGACATAGTGGCTGCAACAATGGGCTGGAACGTAGCAATTATTTTGAGTATGATGCATGACCAGGCACTGTTTCCTTTTGTTTTAATGTGAGGTTGCTATAAGTAGGAACTGGTTTGATGGTACCTAACAACAACAACTATATATAATCATTATTAAAGAATTTATTATTAATTTCTAACTCATTTCTCACTCAAAACTTAATCAAGATAGATCATTGTTGTTGTGTAGCATTGAGTCAAACCTGACTCATCACAGCCTTGGGTTTCCGAGGCAGTATCACTACGGAAGTAGATTGCCCAAACTTTCTTCTGAGGAGTGGCTGGTATGTTTGAACCATCAGCTTTCTGGATGTTTGAACCATCAGCTTTCTGGTTAGCAGTCAAAGTGCCTCAGGCACTATGCTACCAGAGCTCATAGATAGATCATAGACATGAAAAAAAGAAATATAAATCTAGAAAAAAACAATGATAATATTTTTGTGATTTTGGGGAGACAAAGTTACTATGGATGTTGTTATTACTGTTACATGGATAGGACCTAAAGTACAGTAATATAAAAGAAAAAATACTGAAAAAATAAACTTTATAAAAATTATAAATCTGTATCTATAAAAATATAGTATTAAAATTATAAGTAGGTTACCCAGATAATAATCTTTAAATCTTAACCCAAAAATATCCTCTGAAGTCTTCTTAAAACGAGGGATTAGTTTCAATCAACTGGTAATGAACGTCTGTGTTGAGCATTACACTCTTTTAAAATCTATCTATATGGGATCAAATTGAGAACAGAAAGTCAAAAGATTAAACAAGAACTTAGGGGGCAGCAAGTGTATCTTTATGTGGGAGGAACTAATTAGAAAAGAAGGATGATATTGGCTGTACAACCCTAAGAATTTAACGAATGTCACTGAAATATAACTGTAGACACTTGAGTTTCTGTGTATTTTTGCTGTTTATATTCTCAAAAACAACAACAAAATAAACTGTTTTTTTTAAAAAAGATAATGGGTAGGCAAGACACAGACTAGTATATATATTTTATTGTAGACACATAAATCCTTAAAACACTTCTTCAAATCAATAATAAAAGAATGAATAATACACTAAAAATGGCAAAAGATTCAAAGATGCACTTTACAAAAAAAAAAAAAAAAAAGATATATGAGAGACCAATAGAAACAGGAAAAATGGTTAGCACCAGTAGTCTGCAGGGAAATGCAAATTAAAACTACATTGATATACCACTCTATGCACACTAAAATGTCTAAAATAAGACTGAAAACACCAGTAAGAGTGTGGAACGTTATAGATTGGACTGTGTCTGCTCAAATTATGTATTGAAATCCTAATCCTTGTACTTATAAATACAACCCAGTTTAAAAGTAAGGTTTTCTATTGCTATCTTATTGAGTTTGTACCACAATAGGATGAGTCCTAAACCTAATCATTTCTGAGTTATTGAGAAAAGAAATACAAAAAAGACCTAGAGACACATACAAGAAAAAGATAGATACCAAGCAATGCCAAGGAAGCAGTTATGGACAAAATAGAACTCTCCTACTGACTTGATTTCTATCCCCAAAACTGTGAGAAAATAAGTTCTTGTTCTTTAAAGCCACCAATTTAGGTATTTCAGTTACAGCAGCACCTGGTAACCAAGATATGAAACTGGTACTCTTGTACATTGCTATCAGGAGTGTAAAATGGTTGAGCCATTTGGAGAACTTTTTGGCAGTTTCTTACATCATTAAACATACATCTACCTTTCCTGAATAAATGAAAACATATGTTAACCAAAAGACTCACCCAAGAGTAGTCAAAGTGTCTTTATTCATACCAAAAAAACAACCAAACACACTGCCATAGAGTTGGATCAAACTCATAGTGACCCCTTCTAGGCTTTCCGAGGCAATGCCACTAAGTAAGGAACTAGATTGCCCAACCTTCCTTCCGAGGAGTGGCTGGTGGGTTTGAACCTCCAGCCTTCTGGTTAGTAGTCAATCGCCTTAGGCACTACACCACCAGAGCTCCCATCTTTATTCATAATGGTCCGAAATTGGAAGTTTCCTCAACTTCAAGAAGGGATTAAAAATTATGGTGTATTCATATAATGGGATATACTGTGCAGCAATATAGATAAACAAACAACTGATACATGAAAACCATGAATGAATATTGGAAATATGCTGATTTAAAGAAACCAGACAGGAAACAGTGCATATGCTATGATTTCAAATATATTAATTCCACCAAAACCAAATCAAACTGCCATCAAATCAATTCTGACTCATAGCAACCCTACAGGACAGAGTGCAACTGCTTAATAAAGTTTCCAAGGTTGTAAATCTTTATGGAAGAAGACTCTCTCATCTTTCTCCCTCAGAGTGGCTAGTGGGTTTGAACCATCAACCTTTGGCTTAGCAACTTATTGTTTTAACCATAGCACCATCAGAGCTCCTATAGAAATTCTAAGAACTAGCAAAAACATTCATAGAAACAGTAATGAGAAAGTGATCTGTAAAGTAAAAGCATGAGAAGCACTCTCAAAAAGACATTGAATAAGGAAAAAGAAAACATACAATTTTAAAATTACAAGTAGAATTTCCAATAAATATTTTAGAAGCTAAATCTCTCAACTCAGTGAGTGATATTTACTCCTTTCAAGCAAAAAAGTCAGATCATCTGCATTTTGAGGTTTATTTATTTTCATCATATTCAAGTTTTCAGTGGTTTCTGTAACTAAAAAGTAAAGGACCAATTTCCAAATCTGGTTGAGAATTTTGTGGAACAAACACCATTGCAATACTGCTGTCATGGGAGATAAGAAAGTACAGGAAGAGGAGAATAGTGGAGTTAGAGGAGAACAACAGTGCTCAGATAGTGAATTTAAAACTTCAAGAAAAAAAAAAAAAAGTGAATTGATGGCAAGTTTAATTTCATCAAGTTTAAAAAGTTCAACTATAACTTACCGTTACGGCCATTTTGTTTTAAAGTATTTGCAGAAAGCTGTATAGTGCTTCCATGGCCTGTGTTTTCAGGAAATTTTAGGTCTTCTAAATTTCCTTCTGTGCTCAGCCTTGCAACTTCCAATTCTATTAATAGAAAATAGATGTTTATTGAGAAACATGTCCAAACTATAATAATCACTGAAATATTTCTGAAATTAAAACATTAGAATTAATGTTATATTTGTCATGCTTTGCAGTAATTCAATCTTGCATTTAGAAATAAGTTGTTGTTGTTGTTATGTGCCATCGAGTCGGACCCGACTCATAGCGACCCCTCCTTGGGTTTCCGAGGCAGTATCACTACGGAAGTAGATTGCCCCATCTCCCATCCGAGGAGTGGCTGGTGGGTTTGAAGCGCCAGCCTTCTGGTTAGCAGTCAAGTGCCTTAGGCACTATGCTACCAGAGCTCCCTAGAAATAATTATTCTGTTCTTATTTTAATTTTTTTTTTCAAAATAAAGAAAATAAAAGCCATTAAAGTTATATGAGGAGCCCTCCTGGTACAATGTTTAAGTGCTTGGCTGCTAACCAAAAGGTCAGTGGTTGGAACCCACCTGCAGTTCCATGAGAGAAAACACCTGAAGATCTGTTCCTCTAAAGAATTACAGCCTGGAAACCCTGTGAAGCAGTTGTACTCTGTTCTTTAGTGCGGTATGAGTTGGAACTGATTCGATGGTGCATAAACAGTTAACAACAAAGTTATATAAATAAGAATACAAATACTTCAATAATAAACCACAAAATTCAAAATTCCAGCCCAAATTTTTATAGTTTATATTGGTTTTACATTTATTTTCAAAATATTATCTTTATTTTATGAAGAAAAATCCTTTTATATTATGAAGTGCTGTACTACTGTATCACTATTGATCTATCTTTTAATCTAATAAGTGTAAAACTTAATTATCAAATCTTCTGAAAGAAAACTTTCAGCTACATTCCTACATGCAATAAAAATAGATCTATACTATTTATGAGCCAAATAACACAAAAATTAGAAATTATTTTTTATCACTTTCTCTTAAATGGAAATTTCTTTATAGTATATAATTCAAAGGCACTCTTGTGTTATCTGAAATAACCCATAAGCCTTGCAGTAAGAGGATAAAATTCTAAATAAAAAATTTAAAAAAAAAATGAGGATTTTACTGTAAGTGATCACAGGCTAATGTAGCCAATACTGGATGTCCTATGGAGGATGACAAACATGATTATGAATATTCTCTTGAACCAGTAACAAGTGATCCTCTTCTAGTTTTACAAAAAAAAGTATAATTTAACCACTGAAATAAAACAGCACTCATATATTTGGAGCACCACAGATACCATTTTTCTTTGCCCTCTTCATTTGTGCAAGGGGCTCTGGACCATCTGTATAACAAGTAACACTCACGAATATTGTCTGTGTTTTCTCTGACAATGTCTGTCTTCAAAAGGTTATCAGCCAGCACAAAAGCACTTTCCTCCACAGTGTCAAGCAACATGGTGGCTGCACGTAGTTGATCACTTGTAGTCAGGTCTCTCCATGCACTCAACGCTTGTGGCTGGAGGAGGTTGTTAACTGTCTCGACCATTGCCTATAAGAGGATGAACAGAATGACAGGGGTCTCTAGTGAACCCACATAGTTGTCAGAAATCCATGTGTACATGTTGCCCAGCAAGAAAGGATCAGCAGTGAGCATGAGTTCAGTATTGTCCCAGCCTCCCCTGTGACATGCTGCAGCAGAAGCATTCATTATTCTGTTCTGTAAAGCCCTAGCTGAGACTTCACAAGGCAAGAGAAAAATCTGTCTTTGTTTTGAAGGACAACAAATAGGACCAAGCTGGCTTCTTAGAATCAATAGCACAAGCTTCAATTAAGACTATGATAACATAATTACATTATTTGGTTGTGCAATTGTTGCAAGTAACTTAAACCAACACTTTGACCACACCACCTTCCAAATTTTTTTTGGTTAAATGATTTTCACTGAATCAATATAAAACTGGATGCTGAATATAACAGAGATTAAAACAATGACTACAGTCAAGATAATACAAGAATATGTTGCTTATAGGTTCAGGATTCACTGAGCAAACTACTTTTCTTGTTTTTCACCTAGCCAGTAAGTAAAATATCCAAATGAGAGATATATCAAAATATACATGCTCCCAGGAGTTTTGGATATGTTGTGTGTTCAGAAAACTGTTCTTCATACTGTTTACTAGCAGGGAGGGACATAAACAGATAGACTTCCCTACTTATGACCCTTAGATGGTTTTTTTCCTCCAAAATATCAGCAGTTGGTACACTTACATGTAGAGATGAAGCATCACATTTCTTACTGCTTCATGCAACAGAATAATCTCTGTAGTTACAATTTATATATTTCCTGTGGCTTGCTTTTATGCTCTAGGTTACAAAGAAAAAGTTGTGCACCCAAATAAGGTCTTAAATTTCATTCAAACACAGAGATTTGAAAAATAGAAAAATATAACACCTACAGTTTGAAAGTGATCATCCCTAAAGTTGTTGATCATGAAATTTGCATCAAATCCAAAAATAAAGTTGAGTGAATACCTAACACAGACACAGTTTCTAGGCAGCACACAGGTATTTTAAAAGCAGAAGGGTTGGGAGAGATTGGAGAAATATCTATCGCACTGCAGTGTTTTCTTCTGGTTGGTGTTTTCATAGTAACCAAGTAACAACTGTTAAAAATTCGGCTTCATAATGAAACACCTTAGCTGCCAATTAACACCAGCTTCAAAAACTCATTTGTCTTTTGATAAAAGTTATTTTTTCTTGAAATTTCCACAGCTCTTCCAAGGTCTGGCCAAAAATTAACATTATTGAACTTTTATATAAAATAATCCTATTCACAACTTTAGTACCTTGCATCATTTACAGCAAACAAAATATTCCCTGATGAATTTAATGACTGGGGATTTTCATATAGTGTGCTTAGCTTTGTCATTTGTGGTAGGTTTAAAGCATGACCTAGTCGCCAGACAAAAATATCCCAGATCACAATGAAATCATCTGCTTTCTAAGTAGTTCCACAGAGAAATATGCCAACAGAATATGCCAGGAGGAGGTGACAGATAGGGGGAAAACAAACAAAAAAAGTGTATATTATTTTCTGAACCTAAAAGGAGAACATAGATCTCTTGAATGTAAAGATGGATGCTTCCTAGAACTAGATAATATTTTGGATTCATTAGAAATGGTCTGAAAATCCTATATGTTACAGAAATTATGCTTGTTCCTTAAGCAGCACTACTATTTGAATGAGTTAATAATGTTATATTGATTAAACATTACCTCAAAGAATATTTATTGGGAATCATACAATACTTCTGTTCTGCTTTCATTGTTTTTTACTTTTTAATTTAAAAATATGGAAAAGAACAAACTAACAAAAAAACAACTATAGTCAAGTCTGAGAATGCTCTAAATAAGAACATGTTTTAAATAGATTGCTCTAGCCAAAATGTCATACCTTTGAACTGGTAACAAATTAATGAAAGGAACTCCTTATTCATTTATCTTAGCTTTTCAACTGAAAAAATTTCCCATAATTACACATTTTTAATATATTTTCAACAATTGTATTCTTCCGAATAAGATACAGTCTTTGCAGAAGCTTCCTATCAAAGCCCAAATAATTTCTAAATTTATTAAAGAAAAGACAGACTTAATTGTAGCACCCAAATCTGGAACTTGGTGGGTTGTGACATAAATTTAAGATCCATTTATTCAGCTTAAAAAAAAAAAGAAACTTTTTATTATTGCTTAAGTATTATATTGTAAGTATATGTTAACACAAGGACAGTATTCTATGTTACTAATATCAGAGTATAATCTTTGAAACCATACTGGCTGATTTAAACCTGCACTCTACCTCTTGTTAGCTGTATGACATTGTGTAAGTTCCTTATCTTTCTGTACCTTGTATGTAAATTCGGTGCTATATATTCATCTCTTAAGGGTATTTGGTGCATACTAAGTACTCCAAATATAACTTTACCCAACTTGATATACAAGTGGGAAGAATGTGGGAAGAAAAGAGATTTTTACTGAATGAAGCCTAAATCATATCTGATAAGAATATCTACACTGTAATGAGCTACTGAAGAAATATATCATCTGCCAAGCAACCTTCATAACTAAACCTGTTGCACAGCTTAGCTACTAACAACTATACTACCTGAAGCTTTGAAGAATAAGACAATACAGGGAACATGATGAGTTTTCTAGAACTCTGATAAACAGACTCATTTTCTGCTAGTGAGACCCAACACAATTAAGTCAATCTTAGTAGCTTTACAGATAATACAAATTATGTAAGCTTTCCAAAGATTAGTGACATGAATTTGTTGCTACTTTAATGAAGGCCAATTAAATAATCACAACTGCTCTATGATAAAAGGACACACACACACATATATATATATATATATATATATATATATATATATATATATATGGTTTCTTTATACATTTATGCATGTGCATAATTTACCCATAAAGATGACATCTGGTCAAAAAATAACTTTCTTTCTCAAACTAGGTATTTGCATTGCTTACATTTGTTTACATAACCATATTTTTTAAAACTGGATGATTTTCATTTCATTTGGTTCCAAAGCAATAAGCTTAACTATACTTAGAACACAGGTTCAACTGGAAATATACAATAAATTTGACTAAATTTAGAACAGATACTGGCACATCACTTTAAGGTCCAACAGTTCACACTGATACATCTGTTCTGCTATCAAATTTTTTCTGACCTGAAATTTATATACTAAGTTGGAAGAAAATAAGGCTGATCCTGAATTTGTCTTATAGAATTTTATTATTCTTTTCACAATGCCTTAATCCAGAGGAAGAAAAATAAATAACATATAGACTGAAATAATCTAAACTTTTAAGAAGTAAGTTGAATCAATCAACATTGTCCCTATTAGAATCGAAATAGTAACTCACTTCATTAATTTTTTTTAAAACATTCAAATTTTAATAGGAAATGAGCATTCAGAATTTGCTTTTGGTTCTATGCCTTTAGGAACTTCCTAAGTTCCATAGGAAATATGCTTCCTAACTAATCAACAAACTATGAACTACACAAAAAAGTAGGCTTCATCCTGTTTCGATTTGAGGTTAGGGTACACATTATCCATCTGTGGTAGATAAGTTGTGTATCAGTGTGTCTGGGCCTGGTTTTGAGTGGAGGGGAAGCTGGATGTAGCATTCCCCAAGATGAGACTAATAATCAACTCCATGGTGGAATTTACTGGAACAGCTGAGTAGCTGCCTTAGGGACGTGGTCTGCTTCCAGTATATAAGAAGACAGCTTTGAGAAGGGTCTCTGACCTTTTTGGCATGCTTGGACCCTGCATGTAGCTGAGTCTTCATTCAGCAGCCTGTCATGTTTCTTACAGATCTTGCAACTCTCTCTGGACTTGAACTAGTAGTCTGCCATGTTGTTTGGTAATTTTGGGACTGTGTAATTTTATTTGTTGACCTTGGGTTTGTGAGCCTCAGCAGCCAGCAACTGCCTGAATTAAGAGAAGCCTCCAGCTTCAGTGGGCCAGGAGCAAGAGGCAGAGCTGAAGCCCAAGGTTGAGGGGCTTTCACCCAGTCCCTAGAGCTGGCACTTTGACAGACATCTAGACTCAAAAACTGTAAGAGAAGACAGCTGTTTATTGAAGCCACCCATTTGTGGTATTTTTTGTTAGACTTGAACAAGAGAACCAAAACACCATCTCATTACAGAGTTTTTGGATTAGACTCTGAAATATTTTTGACTGATAGAACTCTGTAGCACAATTATATGCTTTATATACTATGAGTAAAACTGTTGTTGTTGTTGTTGTTATGTGCCGTCGAGTCAAACCCGACTCATAGCGACCCCTCCTTGGGTTTCCGAGGCAGTATCACTACGGAAGTAGGATTGCCCAACCTTCCTTCCGAGGAGTGGCTGGTGGGTTTGAACCGCCAGCCGTCTGGTTAGCAGGCAAGTGTCTTAGCCACTATGCTACCATAAATTTGATTCATGGTCTGATTTTAACAATAGGATTTCCAGTAAGTATTATGTAAGTTAAATATATGCCTAGAAGGATATGGTATGCCCATGATCCTGGTATGTTTGTTTTTAAAAAAACTGTGTTACTTTATAATTTATATAGGTGTAAATATAAATTTCTATGAAAATGGAGGGAAAAAAAAAAACAAACCTCACTGCCAGGGAGTCTATTATGACTCATAGTGACTCCCATTGGGCTTCTGAGGCTGTAATTCTTTACAGAAGTAGATTGCCCCATCTTCCTTCTGTGGAGCAGTTAGTGGGTTTGAACTGCTGACCTTCTAGTTAGCAGCCAAATGCCTTATCCATATACATACATACCTATTTCAAAAGGGAGATTTTACTTATTTTAACTACTGTGAACTTTGGAGAGAATACTTATAAATCTTTGCTATAACAACTGTTTTAATTATTGCAAGACAATGTAATTGTGAATTCTTTCACAAGAATGCACAAAAGTAATAATGAAGAAAGACACATCAATGGCACATCTTACTCAGATGAGC